CTGGGCCGTCTGCTCAGACGGCCTTCAGCAGAAGCCTGCGCTCCGGAGGCCCAGGACCCCCCAGGGTCAGCAGAGCCAGGCTCAGAGCCAGGACGGGATGCCTAGGGGTCCCTCAGTCTCCCTCTGTAACAGCCCTGAGCTGCCCAGCAGCACCCACAGAGGAGGGACCAGCTTCCAGCAGGTTCTGGGTTCACAGGCCTCTCTGTGGCTACCAAGCAACTACTTCTGAAATGGGAAGGAAGGAATGCAGGTGAGAGAGCAGGTTTGTCTTGAGGGCCTGGGGCAGGAGTGACAAGCCAGGGCCTCGGGGGTCTCTGTGGCCAGGTGGAGGGAGGCCTGAGCACACACTTTGTCCACTTCCTTCGGGTTCTGGAGTGGCCTGTGGCCAGGGCCCGCTCTGGACTCCCCCGTAGGTGTTCTTCCCCCACAGTCTCTGGAGGGAGGGCAGGCTGCTGAGACCCTGATGTCGTGCCCCTCGGCCGAGCGCAGCTGTGAGCCCGAGATGCCGTGGGTGTGCATCTACTCCTCACTGACTTCCTGGAGAACAGAGGGTATTTATTTTAAGTCAAAAAAGATATTTTGACCAACCCCACTTAGCTAAATCCTGGCACTGACACTCGAGAGAGAAGCGAAATGCCGGAGGTCAGACTTTGCTTTTTTGGCTAAAATGCTTAATCAAAACACACCTAATACTTCTGCCGGGGTGCAGAGAAGTGGAGAGCCCAGAGCCACTGCCAGCAATCGACAAGCCAGCGGTGCGTGTGCTGAAGCTAAGCTAGCAAAATAAAGAGGGTTTTCAGCGAGGCAGCAGCCGGCCGGGGCGGACGCCAAGGCTGAGAGGCTCCGGGAGAGCGTCCGGCGGTTTTTCCACCGAGGTCAGCAGCGGGTGAGGAGGCCGAGTTAATGGCATTCATACCTGCCAAGGCGGGCCATTAAATCGGGGCAGGCAGTTCCGGAACACGGCTCCAGCCCACTGTTCCAGGCTGGGCTTCTTTCTGGAAAGCCACCACCGGGCACTGCTTCCTCCAAGGGGCCGCTGGGCTGGGTGCCCCCACCGCAGGCCTTGTGTGACCGAGGAGGGCCCAGGAACCGGACCCGCGTGGCTCTTCCCTGCTGCCTGGCGGTCCTGCAGCTGTGGGTCAGTAGAGGCCCAGCAGCCACAGGCAGCAGCCCATCCAAAGGGGCCCGCTCAGGGGTCCACAGAGAGAACCAGGAGCTGCCTGGGAGCCAAGGCCTGTCCCCGGTGCAGGCCTGGCAGTCTCGGGTGGAGGCCTGCGTGGTCTGGTCGGACTCTTGCTGGGTGCATCCTGAACTCCTAGGCACAGTGTTGTCCAGTGTCCCTCTGGGTCCCTATCCGATGACAAGCTGGGTGGGTGGGAGCCTCCCCGAAGTCTATACTGGCTCCTCCAGCAACGGAGGGAAGGGGCCAGACGGTATGACGGTGCGTTCACAGGGGTGCTCCGTCCCGTCTGAAGGGTGGTGGATGCAGTCACCCTCAGCTCCAGATCTATGTGACACGTTGTCCCTTAATGTAAGTTCAGGGACAGGAAGAGGGCCGTGGAGGCCACGCAGCTCCTGACGTGCCTCTGTGCGTTGGTGTGGGGCAGAGTGACCCTGCTATAGGGTGGCTCCTCAGGGGAAGTCCTCCTGTTGGTGTCTTGGCCCAGGCTCCCTGGCTGGACTGATGATTGTGGGTGTGGGTGACCGGACAGGCCGAGGGGCCTGTGGGAGCAGGCGGCAGGACCCACCAGGCCTGGGAGCGGATGAGCTGCAATGGGGTCCCTTCTCCCAGGTGAGGCTTCAGCCCCACTGTCCCCACGTCCTCTCGGCCTGGCCTGGCTCCATCCACCAGGAGCTAGGAGTCTTCAGAGAGGAACTGGCCCCACCTCTGCCTTCCGCTGCTGCCTGGAGCCATCGTAGCTCAGGGCACCTGCCACCCATCCGCCAAGTGGCCACACACCACATTTACCTCATGAAACGCCAGGAGGCTTGTGAGGCCACCAAGGTGTCGAAGGGCCCTGCCAGGCTTAGGACGTGGTCCAGGGGGGCATTGCCCCTCGACGGCCTCTGGCTGAGCTAGACCTGGGAAGGGCAGGAAGGAGGGAAGCCCCCCGCAGTGAGAAGCGGCTTGACCAGTGGAGGGCATCGAGTGGGCTGGGCGGACGTGGAGGGCAGCCCGTGCCCAGGGGGCACTACTGGCCAACAGGGCGCGAACCTGGGCCCTCTGGCTATGGGCGTGCAGTGCTGGGGCCTCCCTGACCACCTCGGTCTCCCTGCCCACTCCAGGGGTTGGCTTTCTTCAGGTGCAAATGGACAGAGTGGGGCTCTGGCTCGACTGGGGCAGGAGGCCACCTGAAAACATCCGACCAGAGCCCACCAGGCCACGGGTGGGCCCAGCGCAGCGCTCAGGGCTCCAGGAGGTGTGTGAACAACGGCGGGCGGGCCAGCCCTGGGAGTGCAGGCTGGGCTGTGCTGGCCAGCAGAGACGGGAGCAGCGAGTTCCGGCACGTGTGCGGGGTGCAGGCAGCTGGGCCCGGGTGGGCTTCAGCCCCCTAACGGTGCCTTCGGAAGCTGAGGCTGCAATACAAGCCTCTCCCTCATCTTAGGGGGCCCCAGGGTCACTGCTGTGTTGGGGCATCCTTTCACCAGAGCTAGGACAGCCCAGCTGTCCCCAGCCAGAGCCTGCCCCAGGAGGCCTCCAGAGGCCCACCTGCAGCCAGGCTCCCAGGCCTGGCCACATTCTTCTCCACAAGGCTCTTTTTCTGACCTTGACAATGACCTTGATGCTCATGCGGGCCACCATGGAATGAGCAAGGACCTTGCTGCCCGGAGGAGGCAGCCTGGGAACTGTTCCTAAACGTCACGTGGCATTTTTGGACAGGCTCAGTGGGTGCCTGGGGATTTTCAAAGCTCCGTCCCTGGGAAGAGTCCCCAACAGGGACCTGCCAGGGAGGGCGCACCCAGCCCAGTGGCCACTCAGGCTGCGTGGGGCCTCCTTTGACAAAGCTTGATGCAAGAGGAGGGCGGGAGATGGGTGAGGCTTGAGGGCCACCCAGGCGGAGGTGGCCATGTCCCTGTGCAGCAGTGTCTGGCTGAGGCAGGACAGGACATGGGGCTGAGTCAGCTCCACAGAAGGGTCCTCCCAGTGGCTGGCCCTCCGTGGCTGAATCTTGCCCCAGGGGCACCAGACACCACTCTCCTTGAAGATGAGAACTCTGGTTTCCTCCTGGCGCAGGCCGGAAGCCAGGAGGTGACGAGCCCCCCCACTCCTCTCCTGGAAACCGTGGCACAGACACCCCGCCCTGTGCAGCGCAGACCCGGGCCTCTGTCCTCGCTGGGGACGTGTCCAGGTGCAGGCCAGGGCAGATCTGTCTGCATCTCTTCCAGGAGCCTCTGGGGAGCAAGGCTTCTCTGAGATCCAGGTGGTCAGCTTCACTCTCTCCTCCGCCCTTCCTGGCCCCGAGTTCAGGAGTGAGGGCAGAACACAGCCTTCTGCAGCCTCCCCGCTGAGCCTCCCCTTCCCCGCGCAGGCCCAGGCAGAGCTTGGTGACCTGGCCGTTGGCGAGTCTCTGCGGGACGCCTCTCGGAGCCTCACTGTGGGGTTCACCGTCCTCCGTCTCCCTCTCTTTCCTCACTTACTGCCACTTTCCAAACCACATTTTCAGAATCTGTTACAAGAAGCATAAAATTCCCAACTGGTCAGCATCCCACACGGGGAACCTGCCTTCTTGTTATGACAGCTGGGCGGGCTGGTGCGCCAGGCCTTGGCACACGGCACCCGGGTCCTCTCCCAGGCTGCGTGGGCTTCGGTGGCACCAGGGTCCTGGCCAGGGGAGGGAAGAGAGCTCCGGGTGTGACCCCTTCCTCGTTTCATTTTTCAGGAGTTGATTTCAGACGTGGTTTCCACTCGGATCCACAGTGTGAGTCCACGGGAGGCTTTTTGACCCAGGGGATAGTCCACGCTTACAGCTCCTGTGTCGGTTTACTCAGCTTAGAAAGCCTCTGGGACCCGGCCCCCACGTGCCGCCCCTGGAGTGGAACGTGTGGGTTTGGGGGAGCGATGCTGGGCGAGATGCCACGGCTGTCCTGAGCGGGGCCAGGACAGCTCCGTGTGGAAGCTTCGTGCCAGGGGGCAGCGCCAGGCTGCGGCCACTCTTCTCCGTGGTTACCAGGCTTGTCCAGCAGCAGCAGGAAGGCAGGCAGTCCCGTGCTGTCGGGAGGCCGCAGCTGGCAGGGAGGGTCTTGTGGACGCACGGGGTGTTTCCCAGAGGCCACACACCGCGGCTCTCGCCTCGGCCCGCCTTCCTGTGAGACGCCTCCATCTCCCCAGGGACCTGGGGCTCTCTCAAGGGCAAGACCCAGGGTGACCACCTCTGACTTGCCAAGCAAGAGGAAGCCGAGGGAAGGGCCTCCCCTGTGACCGCTGCCCTCGCTGGTGCCTCCCCACGTCCACCTGCTCTGCCGGGACTGGGCTGTGCTCCCCTGAGCTCTGCCCCCCAAGCCAGACCGGAAGCTGCTGGACGGCAGTGGCGGCGTCTGCCCTCTCACCCTTTGCTAGGCAAACACGGGCGGGCAGCTGGCGCTCACACGCTTTGCTGGGCCTGTGGGTGGAAGGCAGGGGAAATAAGGCGGAATCCGGCACACCTCCCGGGTGCTCGAGCTCCTGATTCTGTAATGACACGTGTGGCTTCCCTTTGGAGGGACCTCACCCCGTTCCTGCAGGGCAACAGTGGAGCTACACAAAGTGGCTCCATCTCTGAGGTGGAGCCATTAGGAACCAGTGACAATGCTTCCAGGGAGAAGATGTCCCCTGGGCTTAGAGTCCTCAGCCAAGGAGTCCCCGGAGCCTCAGAGCCCTTTGTGTCCCGCCTGGAGACGCCGCAGGGCCTGGTCCCATGACTGCAGGGGACAGCAGGGTCTGCCCAGAGGTGCAGCCTGCTGTATGTAGCTTGAGCCCGGTGCTCCAGAAACTAACGGCTGCTCTTGAACTTGTCTTGCAGCAAATGCTCACGGATCCCGAGGTGTCGTCCCAGGAAGGCTGCATCCGAAAGGTAGGAGAGCTCGTCCCGTCCTCTCCCCGTCACGTGCTCCCGTCCCTGGGTAGAGGACGGTGTGATTTGATTGTCCGCGGGACACCATGTGGGTTCTCCGTGGCTGCCCTGCTGGTGTCCAGGAGCAATGCGCCATCGGGGGCCACGTGTGCTCAGCGCCGTGCCGGGGTACTCGGGGCAGACGCTTGTTTTCCTTGTGGAAGCAGGTAGGGTCACTGCACAGAGCCATCTCATCGTGAAGACAGGAGAAGCTGTGGGCGCGCCTGGGGCCAGGCAGATGGGTGCAAACCGGACAAAGGCAGGTTGGGTTGACTTAGCCATCTTCACTGGATACTCACATGAAGAGAATCTGGGGGAGGCCACTGGCGGCAGACCCAGCAAACCCGTTGTTACTCCAGTGTCACTTCAGATCAGCAAAGGTGTCAGCTTGGGCACTGTCCGGTCCTCGCTGACGGGGGCTGGATACGAAATGACAGGCACCAGCTCTGAAAGATCCAGAAAGGCAGCAGGGGCAGGCGAGGCACACCTGGGCCTCGGGTGAGCTGCATGGGGACAGCCAGGGGCAGGAGCTGACCTCTGACCTGGAACCACTCGCCAGGTAGAGTCCAGCATCCACCCAGGATGAGCCTGAGTCCACAGGCCTGCAGACCCACGAGAATACGTGTGTGTGCACTCTGCCTGCAGCTGACCTCATGTCTGGGATTTCAGTGCTGTCCACCCCATGGGCATCTTGGCTCTGAAACAAGAGGAAGTGCAGAGCCCCCGACTCTCGTGCTGCACCAGGCTCTGCTAGGCGGCTCCGCGCGGGCGCTGGGGAGGCCGAGCCAGCGCTGACCACCAGCTCCCAATGGGTGCGGCTGGCTGGCTATTAAAGTCACCAGCAGGCCCTGCTGACCTTGTGGGATGGCTGGGCTGAGCGTCTGGGCACAGGGGAAGGCAAGGTGGTGCCAGGTCAGCCGGCGGGCTGTGCCACGGCAGGGGCCAGTCCCCCCAGGCACTGAGTCCGGAGGACACATGGTGTGGCTCCTGGCCGAACCTCTCACCTTCCTCATCCCCATCTCTGTGGGCTGTTCAGCCCTGGAGAGACCCTTCTGGGGAACAAGGTGTCTTTCTCCGTCCCCGCTGCCTGCCGGAGGCCCGAGGCCTCCCTCCCTTCAGGTGTTTGCTCTGTGGCTCAAATTGTGGCGATGTCTGTCCCTCTCTCCCTCTCCTTCCCTGCCTCTGAGTGAACTTGTATTTCCCAGAGGACAGAGGGCAGCACAAGACAGGAAGCAGCTTTCCTCCCTTCCTGCCCTGAAGCGGGCTGCCGCGGACTCTGACCTCGTGCCGTCTAGAGCGAGGGTGCTGGGATGGGTGGAGGGGCTACCCAGCCCCAGAGGACGAGAATCCAGGTGGGAGGTCAAAAGGCCAAGTGTAAATTGAAAAGGCCACTTTTGAACCAGACCAAAACAAGACAGGATAAGAACATCCGTGGTCTCCCTCCTCTGTCCACCAGCGGCACTGTCTGTGATCTGCCTCGTGTTGTCTAAAGGGTGGGACCAGGAACGAGGTCTTGTCTGCTGAGGCCCAAGTTTGTTGTGTGCCTGTGGTGCAAGGTGCTGAGTGGCCAGGGACCCACGGGTGCCTGCCCCGTGTGCTGGAGCAACCCACCAAACGCAGGTCCCTGTGAAGCTGACTGCAGCTCTGCCAGGCTGAGGGGCTGCTCAGACCCCAGCAGATCCCACCCCAGGGCAGCTGAGCACCAGGGCGGCCACCGATGGGCACCAGAGCCCAGGGTCTGTGGGCAGCTGCTCTGTCCTGGCTCCCAGCCCTCTCCCTCCCACTGAGCTGCAAGGGGAGGGTGGGGGCTGCTGAGGGGCATCCTCACCCATGTCCGCCACCACCTCCCACCAGACTGAGAAGCTGCCACTCGGGCCCCCCGCCCGTGGGATCCCAAGATTTCCAGCCTCGGAACTTGGCCATCAGTAGCATTCAGGGGCCCTGGCGCTTGCCTGCGGTCACTCTGGTGGGATGATCAAAAACCCAAGCCGGGTGCTGAGGTCTGGGAGGGCAGAGGGTCACAGGTCAGGGCCAGGAAGACGAGGAAACAGGGCCCATCTGCGTCTCTCCCAAGCTGAAGCCTTGGGAACAGACAGGTTACGTACAGCTATGGAAGTGGAACGTAGATACAATTTGTTTGTTGCTAATGTAACCCCACGTGCCCTAGTGTGCCACGGTCAGGGTGAATTCAGTGAATTCTGTAGTTGGGGTCACCCAAAGACGTTCACACTTGCACTAAAAATATAACAGAGAAGCAAGGGGCTGGGAGGCTGTGTGACCTTGGGCTGGGAGGCTGTGTGACCTTGGGCTGCTCAACTGACATCTCGGAGCTTCCCTTTGGCATTCCCGGGAAGGCTTACACTTCCTGTCTTCTTCAGTGAGATGCAAAGGAGTTAGCTAATTCTATGGGGGCTTGACCCCTTGGTGCAGAAGGGTGGTTTAGGGGTCAGTCGCTATTATAAGTTCTCCGCCTTGGAGACAAGGTTGCTGCAGGGACCACAGAGCTCACAGGCCAGGGATGCCCAGCAGCAGCCGAATTTGAACCCAGGCCCGGGGCGGGGCGGGGCTGTGAGCAGCACCTGGTCTGAGCCCGCCCACAGCCGCAGTCCCCTTCCTCCCAGCCACCCAGTGCCCCTGCCCCACTCCCCGTTCGTCCACCCAGGCTCCCTGGGCTTGTCCTCTGCTCCTGGCGACCCCGTCCCCCTTTCCCTGTCCCCTCGCCCACACCCCCGTGACCGCGCAGTCCCGACGGCGCGGAGATGTGACACCGCTCCTCTCGGTCGCCTTCCCGGTGCCTTGGCCGCCCCGCGGCCCGGGCGCTTCCTGAAAAGTCACTCTGGCAGGTCGCTGGGCCGCGTCCCTCTCTCGGCGCGGACCTCCAGGACGCCCCTGCGCCGGGACTCTATTTAGTCTGTTTACTTAGCGGGAAAGCCCGAGGCTCCTGGAGAGCAAACATCTGCGGGAGATAATCTAGCGAGTTGTCCATCCATCACCGCGGCGCGGCTCCCTGGAGAGCGCGCGGGAGCCGTAATAAAAAGGCCGGGCGAAGAGGCTTTGGGGACGAATAAAGAGCCGCGTGAAGGGCTCGCGGAAAATGGATGGAAGACGTTATTAAGGCTCAATGGCCGTCTTATCAAAATCCAATAGGATAGACATTTGGCAAAAGGCTTAAATTTATTCTTTGACTTTCTGGAGGGCTTGAATTTATCCGTTAACAAGAGTGTAGTCCACCCGGGGTGATGGTATCAGCCGAAAGAATTTTGATTCAATCTCTTTGGTGATATGAAAAGGGGAAACACAGCTCCCCGGCCTTTCCCTTTGTCCCACTTTATCTTGTTTTCTTTCACCGTCTTGAAAAGGAAGGACGGTTAATACAGTGCTACGGTGCCGCCTGAGAAAACAGTCGGAGGAAGTGCCCTCCCCCTTTTGTGTTTTCATTTTCTCTCCTCCTCCCTTCTCTACTCCCCCCACCCGATACATCCTTCATTCCGCTGACATCATTAGGACTTGGACCAGAGACCTGAAAAGGTGCCACTCTGAGGCTCCCGGAAAGGAGCAGCCCCGCCAGCCCCAGGGCGCAGGGCATAAATCTCCCGCACCCCCAGCCCCTTGTTATTATCTACAAAATGCTACAGGTCATAAAAGTCACCCGATAGCCCAGCCTCCTGTCCCCCAAACAGGGTGATTGATGGATAGTCATAATTACTGAGATGATTATTTGGGCGTTAGAACCGTGGCCTCTCCCTCGGGAGGTTCATGTGCTTCTGTGTGGCCCCAGGCCAGATGCCTCTGGGAACAGGACTCCCAAAGGTTCCCCGTCCCTGGAGGGACTCCCTAATGAAGGTGACTCTGTGCCAGGGGTGAGAGCTCAGCATGTCCAGGGAGGTGGGAGCAAAGACAGGAGCAACTGTCCAGAGCCCCTGGAGGCCCCAACCGACCGCCTGCCCGCGGCCTGGGCCGTCTGCAGGGAGAATTCGTGGCCTTGCTAGGCTATTGAGCTCAGCATGGCACCGGGTAGCCAGGTCTGGGATCAGCTTGGTGGCCTCCTGGGGGACGCAGAGGTATTTTCCGTGCACGTGGATGAGGGCTGGGGAGGAAGAGGAGGGCGGGCGAGGGATGTGGCTGGGACCAGAAACTGGAAGGCCTGAAGCAGCGGAGCTGGAATGAGAGGCTGCCCTTCACGCCTGGGCTCCCGCTGGCATTCCCTGGCGCCCGAGGCATGCCATCACGCCCCTTGCCTGGGTGTCCTTGGTTATTCTGAGGTCTGTGCCTTTGAGGTGAGTTTCCAAAATCCTGTTCCTTCCATGTTTCGAGATGCCTCTGGAAACAGGACTCCCAAAGGTTCCTGGTTCCTTGGTTGCCCCCCTAACCAGCCAGCCTGCTGGCACTCAGAACTCAAAGCTCTGCCATCGACCTGCAGTTTTCCTACAAATGTAATTAAAAAAAAAAAAAATCACACCAGTCTCTAACCCTAAGAACCCTGCAATCAAAATTATTAATTTGCATGTAGGATCAGTTATGTCTTTATGAAACCAAAGTGTGTTTAGCTGCCCCGGAGACAGCCCCGAGTTGATTTTGATAATCTCAGGCTGAATAGACTTGCCTCGTCGCAGTAAGCCGGGGACAAAAGGCTGGACAGTGTCTGAAAGCCCTTTGACGACACGTCTCTCTTTCCATTGTTCGGGGGCTGCTGATAAAAGAACCGGGAGTCCATTAATTCAGTGAATGAACATATAGTAAAGTCAGTCCCCTCTTGAGAACAATAATGTTGAGGTCAGCTCTGGTCGCCATGGAAACTAAGTACTCCTAAGAAGTTCGCATCCTTGATTTTGCTGAATCAAAGGCTGCAAAGCGGAGAGGTGTAATGCGGCCAAGAGCAGAAAGTCGGCAGCGCCGCCTCTGCGGGTCCCTCCCCAAGAGGGCGCCGGGTCAGTGGCCCCGAGTTCCCCGAGTGGCCCTGG